GGTTACCGAGAAAGTACAATAAACATTTTTGGTATGTTTTGGGACCAATCTGCACGACGTTGTTAAAATCTCGATCGAGGCTGGTGAAATCCCTCTTTCTTGCCGGCGGGCAACTTACTTAAACACTAGTCTATTAAATGCCGACTACAAAATATTCACAGAGGCACTCTCTCTCTCTCAAACCAGTTCTTGGGAATATCATTCACACTGATCAAATCTACTCAATTCCTGGCAGGCAAAGGAAAAGGTTTTTGCTCAAGCTATAGATGCAGGTTTGTGGGCAAGGTCGTGATTTTTTTTGCATCATTGGCTAAAAAGGGTTACAATTTCGCAGCATTATGCAAGATTTATCAAGGCTGTATATAAATAATAAAAAAGATACATGGTGAATTTAACTTTTTACAAATAATGGGTTTACATTTGAGACTTACAGCCATTCTAATTATGAGCATTAACAAAATTCTTTTTGAGTGAATGGTTCTGCAAATTAGTCATGATCTCAATTTGTGTTTTTCTGTTTTCCAGGGACATTTAAATCTAAATGGCTCTCTCAGTTGTTGTTTATTTCACATGGAACGTTTGTTTATTAACAAATGAGCATCCAAGCGTTTAGATATCATGTTTTGTTTTTATATTTCAAGTTGCCTAGCAGGATGTTTGCCGTATATTCAATCCTGGTCAGTATTTCACACACTTTGGTTGTCATTGACCGAGAATGCAAAGCTTTAAAAATAAGACCGGACTTCATTTTGTTTGTAAAGACGTCGTCGCAATAGTGTGAAAATTTGAAAAGTCAAACTGACAACAACTGTGAGAGCTAATTAAGTTCCATCTCTCTGACCAACCCGGAAACGCGAACAGAGATAATCCACGTTTTATGAAAGTGACGTTTATCGTCCACAAAACTGGCTATCCCACCACGATTGAATGCCAAAATCCACCACACACCGACGCGTAAAGAAAACAAAAATATTTACCATTTGAGGGAAACTGACGAAAATCGTCCACGAATTCACAACCTTGTATGAAAACTGTCATGGCGTCGTGTTATTAAATTCCACCAAGGGAGGGGCATAACGGATTACGTAAAACGGATGAGATATTCATACAGTTATATAAACATAGTGATCGTCATTGGGTGGTTTGCGTTTAAGGCTCAGTCTAAATTTACCTTTCTTCAAACTTTAAACAAAAAAATACCTTTTATGTCACATTTTTTGCGAACCCCGGTTAAATGAACCATGCGAAGTTCAACACTTCAGTTTCAGTCAGACGATCCGGTTGACATCGGCAGTACTATTTTGCTATACAACGGCTATTCGCAGTTTTCACTATTCATCGCTCAAACGCTGGTGAGACAACTTCTAAATGAAGTCGCATTTGAAAGGCAACTATTGTAAATCGTTGAAAAAGCGTGACAATATTAAGTGCTTGAAATCTATTCACCAAGAGAATAAAACAATTTAGTGTGAATTTGTTGTAATTCGGGAGCATGTCCTATTGATCGATCATGCTTTCTACAAGAAAATATACTTATGGTATAATATGCAAATTCTGGGAATGTCATCACCGGTTAATTCACCAGTTATAGTAGTGTTCAATTCTACTGTAGCCTAAACCCTTGTAGTGGTATTAGGGTCGGGATGAGTGAATGGGTTTGCTTTTTTATCTTGATGGATCAGACGCTGCAGTACGGGAACAGAAAATCCAATGTACTTTAAAACGTCCGCATTGAAAGCAAAACGAAATGTGGTAGAATACGTTCTCTTTATTACAGGCCCACAACTGTGTATTTTTGTTACAAGATAATGCGAACCATTGCCTTGCGTACGATAGGAACCTGGTGGATGCCATTAATTTCATGATCCTTTGGTCTAAAATACTAAAAATATGATATTATAGTATTAAACATACTTACTCATTTAAATAAGGTTATTCTATTCACGGGAAAAGTATGTTTTGCTCATTAGTTCAATAGTTGTGTTCAATGTTGCGTGTCGTATTACATCTTGCCTAGAATGAGGTCGAATCTTCCAAATAATTAACTCAAAATAGTAGTTTCAAATTAATGAAAATGTGTTGAAAACTATACATAACATGACTGCTGACATCCCTGTGATACATATGGTTTGGTTGCCATCAGCGCAATTTAAAATTAGAAAAAAAATCTTCAATGCTGGTAATAAATGATAGTCAACATAACGTCATAACAATACAGCACTGTACTGATATCGACATCAACTGGGCCTGCATGTTTTGAAAGTCTCGACGACAACACCATAGGTTAGGCGTTTTTTGTTT